AAAAAAAGACAGAAAAAAAAAGAAAAAAACACACAAAAAAACGCCAAAACTAAGAAAAGTTTAAAAAAAAAAAAGAGGGGGGACATTTAAAGAAATTGAGTCAAAAACTGGTTGGGGCGATAGGTTATCTTTGGCTGTGCTCACTAATGCTCTATCCTCACTTCCATTTCACTACTGAATTTCATCTTTCACTTTTCAGTCTTATTATATATATTTTAAATCTTTCTTCTGTCACTGCTCTTAACCCCTTCATGTTTATTCTTTCATGTATTCATGAGATGATGGGGTTTCATTCTCACGCTATGAGATTTTTCTTTTCTTTTTCTCTCTCTCCCTCTCTCTTGCTTACAAGCCTAAAAGAGTCTTTTAAAACCAACAAATAAAAAGAATATTTATTTTGGAAGAGCTGGGAAGGGAAGGGAAGGGAAGGGGGGGAAGAGGAGGCAATTATTTGGGAGGGAAGGGGCAACGTGGGGTTTATGGGAGGGAGGGAGGGAGGGAGGGAGGAGGGAACTTATCAAAACCAAGGCACATTTGCAAGATGCCTTTTTCCACCTTCAGGAGTTTGCAAGCTGTTTTTCCTGTGTGAATGTGCGTGTGTGGAGCATCTCTGTGTGCGTGTGTGTGTGTGTGTGTGTGTGTGTGTGTGTGGGCAGGTGTGTCCATGGAGGTGTGTGTGCAAGCATGTTTTCTGGGGAGGGGGGCTGGGGAGGGGGGTTTTGTAATACCTTTTGTAGAAAGAGAACACAGATGACATTTAACTGGCAGTGTGTTTGGGGGGAGGGAATAGCAGGGGTTTGTTTGCTCGTTGCAGCTTTGCCAGGTTGGAGGTTCCAGCTCCAGAGACAGAGCTGGGGAGGCAGAGTGTGCAGATTGGCACTTGCTGAGGGAAGAGAGGGATCTGGGGATCAGCAGTAGGGCAGTGCTGCTGTTCACTGCTGGCATCTGACCTGGAGGAGACTAAGCTGATTCAGTCCTCAGAGGAGGAGCTGTTCCTAGTTATTCCCACCCTGCATCTTCCTTACTGAGTCTGGAGAGAAAAGCAGTTGCAGGACTCTAAAAATTCAACCCTTTCCTGTTCTCCCTGTTCCTTATGCCAGACAATGGATCCACACTCCAGCCCTCTGAGTGACCATAGCCTGCATCAAGGCACAGGAAAGGCTGGATATCATTTAACTTTGTTATGTTTCAGGATGAAAAAAAGTAGGGAAATTATAATGATCCCGTTTCCTAAGAAATTCAGGAGTGAATGGTGGGCTGGCAGCCTCTGACCTGTGCTGCTTCTACCAGGCCTCACTTTATGTCTGTTAAGATGTACAGAGTGTAGAAAAAAAGCACCCTGTGCCTCTCCTTGCAGATGATGGAGCTGAGGATGAGGTAGAGTTCCATGGAGCATCATCCTGCTGGATGATGATAGTCTCCAAAGGCTGGGCAGGGTGAAAGTTGCAGTGAAAATGCTGAGCTTGGTGCTTGTGGAAGTCTGGGGAAGCTGCTGAGCCTCCAGCAGCTTCCATCCATGAGGAAGGTACAGGAGGGGAACTTGGCCTTGGACTCCAAGGTCAGATTTTTCCAAAGGAGCCAGTGACTTTCAGGAAAATCACTGAATTATTGGCCACTTTGGCAATCACTGATGATTGATAATCTCCCTTATAATATTAATAAAAGCCATGAAAATGTTAAATTCACAAGTGCAAAACTTTAACCCTAGGTCATTCTGCCGTTCCTGGAGTAATGATGAGAACCTTCTTCTTACCTGATAGAGTTTTTTCCTGTCAGACCCATGGACACCCACATTGCCCTTTATCCAACCATCCTTTTATTTTCCTGCTAGCATTCTCCTCCCTTTTCCTTGATTCCCATTGCTTGGGAGAGCAGAGTGATCCTCTGAGACCAGGGAAACTCCTGTTTTTCAGGTGACCCTGATGCACATCTTTAATTCACTAATTTATGTCTGTACTATGAAAATGTGAATCACTTCAGGCCTGACCCAGTAACACTGAAGTCAGGGAAAGTTTTGCCTGGACTTGGCTGAAGCAGGATCAGGCCTCATCAGAGTAATCATTGTTATTTTTATATCAGTAATGTGTCTTATGCAGAATCTGAAGCATAAGAGTAGAACATCCCCCCTTCCCCACGTGTCTGTCCCCTCTCTCATGTTCATGCATGCACATGTTTGGTCCAGGCCTCCCTGGACTCACCAAGGTTTTAGCACAATTGTTAAATCAGACTTAGATTCTCCCCTGTCCTGCAGAACAGTCTCCTGCTGGTTCCCCATCCATGAGCAGTGCTGTTGGGGATGGGTTTTCCCCAGATTGCTGCAGTTCATGGGTCTGTATAGGAATAAGAGTCTGGAGAATCAGGTAGTTCTACCTGATATGCAGGAATTGAAACCTTGGCCAGTGGAGAAAGTTATGCTTTCTAGTGTGATTCTATTCAGAAATATCTTTTAAATGCTTTAATTGAAGTCATAAAGTTGTGCTTTATGACAGCAGCAGTATAATGCCAGTGGATATCAGCATGGCATGGCTGCAGTTCCCACCTGGAGACTGCCTATCAGCAGGGGGAGTCTAACCAGGTGATTGATGATTAAATAAAATATCTAAAATTTACCCTTTATATATGTGATTGCTATGTAGAGGGTGGTCAGAACGATAAAACTGAGGAGAGAAAGAGGCAGTTTAAAAAGCCTATTAAGATTAGAGGGAGAACAAATGGCTGTGGGGTAGAAAATTCTGAAGCTGAGGAAGATGACTCAGGAACTCCAGTAATGTGACAGTTGTAGTAAAACCTGACGAATGTGTGGCATGGGTTTGGCACCTGAGGGCTGTCTGAGCTGGCCCCAAGGGCTGGCAGGGCCAGCAGCACACAGATGATGCAAACCCCACTGATGCTCTTTGCTTCTCGGGTGCTGAGCCCCACATGGGGTGGGGTCCTGAGTGGCCAGTGCCCTGCAGGTACAGCCTCCAGACACTGGAGATCAGGCACGGGCAGGCTGTGTTTAATTATTTGAGGCTTCAATCCAGGATTGAGCCCAGTGACAATCCAAAAGATTTCCAGGGAAAAAAGCGCTGCTTAGCAGATTTCTTCACCTGCTGCGACTGGGAGCCAGACTCCTCTATTGTGGCCTCAGTTCTCTGTTGGCTGGGTTCTCTTTCTTATCAGGAGTCAGCCTAGCTTCTCTTTGAATGTTTCTAACTTGGTGTTTCGAGGTCAGTGTTACTCACAGAGTCAGTACATCCAGACTCCTGGACTCTGGGTCCGACACAACAATCTTTGCCAAAGAGTGTGTGGTCAGGACTGGGCACAGTTCAGGAGCTGCCTTACACTTGCTGCTGATCGGACAGAGTGCTGGAGAACAACAGAGTCCTGGGAGTGGGATGAGGAATAGGAAATGTGAGGGAAGGATGCTGAAGGCCTTTAGGAATGCTCTGCTCACAAAGTGAGGTGGCACCTCCGTGTTCCCCTCCACAGCTGCCTGCCTCCACCCCTAAGGAAGGCAACAAACCCATCTTGTGTCGAGGGCCAGTGACCCAGGAAGAACCTAGTGAAGGAAAAACAAGGCATTTTACTGATGCTCAAGGCTCAGAGGTTTCAAGCCATCACAAGCATGTGTTACCAGGAAGGTGGAAGGGTTTTCCATGCTGCATCTGGCATGCCCACTGCTCCCCTCCTCTTCTTCACAGAGGGGAAAGGGGGACAAAAGGCTTTGTGAGTGCTTTTCCAAAGTGGAGCTGCTTCTGACCTTTGCTGCAGTGGTGCAGAAGGCAATGCTCAGGGCTTGGTTTGTTGGCAGCTTGGGGCAGGACTGCTGCTTGCTGGGTTGTGTTTTTTAGCATTTGAACATCAGGGGTGTTCTGGGCTGCCTGAGGGAGCCGGGCCGGGGGAGAATGTTTTGTATCTTTTCCATGTGTAACAGCCTAGAGAAGGCACGTGGAAGAGGAGAAGGAGGAGCAGAAATAGAAATGAAATCTCTCTCAGGACATACATGGCCAACACAACTCTACTGCTTCATTTTCTGATACTGTATAGTGCTGTCACTCAGGGACCTTTAGTGACTGGGACCTTGGGACTGTAATTCTGTCTGTCCCCTTCCTATCCCCCCTTCGCCTTGAGTGTTGAGAAATGAAAAGACAATGGCAGGAAGTGCAGAAGAGGGAAACGAGCCCTGCTAGCAAACCCCTGCTATTCCATGGGTGACAGAAAAGCTTTGGTTACTAAGGTAAAAGGAAGATGTAAACCTTTCTAATCATGGCTTGAGCATAAACCAGCCAGTAGTGTATATAGGATAAGTTGACAGTGCATGAAACAAACAGGACTGTAGGTTTTTAATGGCATCCAACTTTCTTGCATGCACATCTGACACCACGCCAGCAGCTTATGTCTTGCAAATAAGTAGGGAACCTGCCAAGGCTTGGCACTTCCTCTGTCCAATGGACAGCACATCCACTTCCCAGAACCAGAGCCAGGGAGGGAACTGATCTGGCCAGTCTGTTTGACCAGATCTGCTCCAGAGGGTCTGGCAGGAGGAGATACAGGGTGGAGAAGGGAGCTGGTTTTGTTCTCTTTGTTGTGGGGAGGAGGAAGGTGTTTAAATCTCTGAGCTGTTTTCAGACAGAAGAGAAACCTCTGGAGCTGCAGACCAAAGGACAGTGGCTTTAGGGAAGGTGGTTACTGGAATCTGATGGAGAGGATGGGTTGAGGAAAAGGTGGTTGGTAGGAGAGATCTGTAACTTCAGAAGCAGAGCAAATAGGAGAGATATTTTGAAAATATATGTGCAATACAACAGGTTTGCAGGGACTGGAGCACTGGGGACATCCCTGAGTCAGACAGGCTGGGTACAGCTGCAGGCAGCACTCCAGGAAGCCCAGCCACGGCAGCAGTCCCTGGTGGGCAGAGCCTGTCCTCTCCGGGGGACAGGGAGGTCAGGAACAGGG